AAAGAAATTTTTAAAAAATCCTGCTAAAAAGCAGATGGGACATTCACATCTGCCCCAAAATAAACAGACCAATGTCAGAGGAACAGAAAAACCCGCTCCCCCGGCAGAGTGTAGCCAGCATCATTAAATTGTAAATTACCCAGAGAGTGCTTTATGTGCTGTGGGATGGTATATAAGCAACATGTTTTTTTTCTGCTGCAGCTTTTAGCTCCATGTGTCCACATGCCTCAAGTGTACACTAAAATGTAAACCTTTTATTTTTTAAAGTAGAACCTGGTACAACAGTGGGTTTTATTGTTGGTGGGTTCAAAACCCCAGAGAGTTTTCAGAGCAGCCTTAGCTTCTATATTCCACCCCCCCAATTGGGATTCTATTTCTGAATTTTGTCACAGGATTATTTCTTGGAGAGGAAATAAAAGATAATGGTGTTTATAACTCAGCACCCCGTGGGGAATCTGAAACAACAAAAAAGTCCAAACTCTTCAGTTTTATAGCTATCATAGTGTGAAGCTGAGATCTGTTAAATTGTAATTGCCCTCTTGGAATGGCAATAAATTTAGCAAATACAGCTAAAAATTATATGAGTTGTATTTAGAACAGGGCGCAATCTTTGTGCTCAGATGTCATTGAAAAGTGTCACATCCCTGGACAAGTGCCCTAAATGTTTAACTCAGCCACTTTTCTGATGCCTCCTGTCAGCCTAACAAAAACTGTGGCTCTTCTATGAAAGCCTCTGAGTACCATCAAGCTTTCTAACTTACATTGGTGCAGTAATTGACAAAAGCCTTAAAGCAACACCCTGACATCCAGTTATGTGGGAAATTCCAATTAAAATGACCCTTGGAGATATAGTCATCCTATTTTTGTTTGTTTGTTTGTTTGATGCAAACCACACCAAAGAGCTCATTCAGATTTATTTTCTTACCCACAAGAAATCAGTCTAACATTCTGATGAAATGTACTTTCTTTTATATAAAGGGATAATCCAACCAGCCATTTGCAACATCAATCATGCATATAAAAATCTGGAATTACTTAACCCTCAGCTAGTTTCTTTTTTCCTGTTGACTTGTAGAGCATTATTTGCATAGCTAGGAGCAAAATCTTTAAACTTTGTTGTTTTTTCCTCTAATTATTTTTTGAGGGGGAAAGTTACAGGCTGAAAATACCTGGCTCTAAGTTCACCCACATTCAAATTCCATTGAAACCATTATAACAAATTAGGCTGTTACGTTTAGAATATTTTCATCCCATCTTTCTTGCTCCACACATTCCAGATGACATCAGAAGGTTCCCAGGCATTCTCCAGACACTGACCAGACTCAAACATGCTTAGTTTTAGGAAGGTTGTTTCAGGATCATATTAATCCATGGTAGGGCCCCTAGGTTTTCAGGTATTTCAAGCTCCCTCTGGCACGTCAATCTTTCAGGGGTCGAACAGACAGCAACCAAAAGATACTACAGTAATTTTAAAGTCTAGACTCAGAATGAACTGCACCTTTGTTGGGGCTGACCTATTATATTTTGCTAGCTCATGCAAAGGTAAGATTACCACTCTTCTTTCATCCACATGTAGAAACCTACTGGACAAGCAGTGTAATTTTACTAGACCACTGACAATGGGATAGTGTCTTCCAATACAATTGAAGTAGCAGGCTAGTTTAGGAGGACCAGTACAGGTTGTGTGGCATGCAGGTCTCTGTTTTCAAACAAAAGTGAACAGCTAGGGAACTTAGAAAGAAGGGCTAGGATGCTGCCACCACTCCTTCCCAGCATCTGTTGCCAAAGATAGTTGGCTTAATCTGCCTAATGGTATGATTGGTCCGGGCTATTTTGGTTGCTAAGATTCTGGTGCCTAGATTAAACTTGTAAGGATATTGTTAGCTCAATTTTATTTATTTATTTATTTATTTGGAGACGATGGAAGACGGTCCCAATCCAATAAAATTAAGAGTGGATAAATTATCCAATTAGCTTTGCTTTTGCTTAGCAAATTATATTATTGAAGAACAGTGTGGTTTTATTAAGGATAGACAAATGGATAATTTAACTAGATGAGTTTTAAACACTATATATGAAACAGAAAAAGAAAAAAGAAAAGCAATGATTTTATCATTGGACATATTTAAAGCTTTTGATTGTGTTGAATGG